CGTTGTAACTATATAACTAGTTTTGAAGAAATTATATTTTTTTTTTATAAACTGTGTGAGTTTCGAACCTTTGGAACATAATCTCTTTGGTATCGGGAGATAGTTTTTGGATATTCCGATTTAAAAAATAATTTTCCGTACCAAATAAGGTTTGAATCCAGAACACAAATGAACCAATCCTTTTGTGTTACCACTAAACCACCCATTTTTTGGTGAATAATTTGTTTTTAATAGGAAAATTGTCGTATGTCGACACAAAAGAAAGAATAGTTTGACGCATGATCCACTAGTATGTTACGCTTTCAAAAAATTTCTCTTTATTTGGTATAAATAAACGGTTTGAATCTTTGCAATATATAAGTCCTTAATTTTAATTTAGCAAAAAAAAAAAAAAAATTCCTTAATCTTCTTTGCGCAAAAAAGGCCCTTCTAATGGGAAACTAACTACTATTGAGTTGAGAAGAGTAGACGATAGGTGTCCGTACGATTCGATGTGATTATTTGGGGTTTTGAAAACCCTAAAATGTGATCGCCAGTTAGATTCTCCACTCCTTTTGGTTAAAAACAAAACCAACTCGTTGTTTTCTTTTCTCAGCATGTTGATGACTCTCGAAATTTCAAAGAGCCAGATTCAATATATTTTGAAAATGCTTAGATATATATCTATGACTTTATAACGAGAAAAATTTGGCCAAATAACCAAAAAAAAAAAACTATATCTTAAAATCTAACTAAAACTATCCTATGTGGCCAAATCCTATCCATTAAATTTAGGGTTTTTAGTCACTTGTTTAGATAAATTTGTTTTTATGGCTATTTGACAAATTAACCCTTATAACGATACATCCAATCAATGGTGATAAAAAATTATAGTTTAATAGTAAGAGGTCACTGTAGTGTCGTAATATAATCCAATTTTTTTCAACTCATATTTGTGAGTTGTTTATAACCGAAAAATGATTTAATTTAAAATTTATGTTAACGTATATTTAAAAATCATAATTTATACACTGTTTGTTGGATAAAATACACCTAGTAAGCATTGACTCTTCACTTTTCTTTAAGTTTTTTTTTTGGGTCAAACTGTTTATATTAAAATCTTAACTTGCTGTTACAACATGGAAAAGCCAATATCTCTTTGCCAAAGAGTATACTCTTAGAACAATATAAATTGATACGTAGATGAAACACAAAGCATAATAAAGATAGGATAAATGGTTAAAATCAAAGATAATAACCGGAAGCACTTTCAAAAAAGCTTTGCAAGTGATCGGTTTAGCATCGATCTTAAGCTCTCGGACATGGTTGGAATCCAAGGCTACTTGTAGTTCTTCTACCATTAGAGGTGAGGGAACACGAATTTGAGCTCTTAATGGCTTCAAAGCTGAGCTTTGGTTAATCACGATCTCCATAAAGGATGACAATGGAAAGAGTCTTTGTGTAACAGAGGTGGTTGATGAAAACGATCTCTCCGAATATGAGGAAATAGTTTCTACAATAGATTGATTCACTGCGAAAGAACACATAGGAGTTCCAACTTTAGAATCTGTAAAATCTGCATAAGGTTTGAAGAAAGGTGACTTGAGAAAAGAGTTGATGATGTTGAATAGGTTCTCAAGGCCCAATTTGAAGAGGATATGGGCTTGGCCCATTTTGGATTAGTTTGATGAGGATTTGTCGGTGAAAATTTTGGAGCTGGGAGAATCGGAGACATGGTCCGGTGTACCGGAGAAGAATTGGTGAAGTTCGATGGTACAAAGGTGAGATGCTATCACTCTCGTCAATCCGTTGCAAGTAAAACTCGCCGGTAGGGAGAGGTATCTTTCAATGGTTCTCGTCGACTCATGAGCCGAGATCGACAGATCTGTTGTGCTAGTGTTCGTTTCTGGTCGAAGAGATTTAGTGGATCTAAGTTTTACGGTTGAGGTCGGAATCTGAGAGTGAAATGGGGGATCTCTCGTGTCTGGTGGGTCGGGTGGATCTGTAGGATCCGGGGGTTCAGAAGACGAGCTCTTTATTGACGCCGGATCTGATTCGATGGAGGGTTTTGATGCCAAAGGAGAGGCGGCAGTGACACGGGGAAACAGCTTCCACTGCGACATGAGGAGGCAGTCACACAGACAAGGCTCTTCTCACAAACGTGAGTGAAGGATTCGAGACGAAGTTTCTCGCCGGAAAAGCTAAGACGTTGGCTGAAGGTACACATGTTGCTGTTCAGAGGAAACCGTCGTAAGTAGCACAAGCGGAGAAGCGGAGGCGTAGGCCCACGTCGAGGAGGTTGGCTCCCGTTGGCGGCCCTCTTGGGGTTCGTGCTTGAGAGAGAAATTTAGGGCGACCTAATGGTTCTCTTCATCCACTTTTCTTTAAGTCATGTCCATGATAAATGATCGGACTTTATCAATTTACCAGTGGGTGGATAAATGATCGGCCTGTACCATTGCATGTCCATGATAAATGATCGGACCTTATCAATCTCCAATTTTCTTTGTCAACCAATTAGTTAGTGAGAACGACCGAGCAAGAACATAATAAGCTAAGGTGTGAAAACTTGAGAAAGCTTGGATAAAAAATATAAGATTTCTCACTCGAATCATAACAAATAACAGAGTCATTACATCTATAGAAACAATTGTTATAAAAAAAAAATCCTTTTGATCGCGTCATATAATTGTTACAATTCACGCATGATCGCAACGATGATCGTTACATGTCACTACTTCAATTCTACTTGAAAAAAATTACTCACTCCCTAAAATGCTATATTATTAATGGTTAATCTCAGATACCGGAAAAGATAAAGAATATAATTTGTACAGTTTATCAAAAAAAAAGCTTGGGGACAGTTTTTTGGGTGTAATGTTTTACTCTTTGTCTGAAGACCTTCAGAGTCGTTGAGAGGCTTCAATTTTCCCTTCGATACCAAACATTCGGATTGAGGCAGAGGGTTTCTAGAGAGCGTTGTTGTCTTCAATCCCATCCACATAGAGAACACAAAGCACAAATGTGTTTGCGTTATCTCCTCTGTTTTTCAATGGCTTCTATACTTTCTCTTCTCCGTACTCTCAAATCTCAAAACCTCAAGAAATCATGCTATTAAACATTTCTGCTTCTCCAATTTCTCATCGAATTCCTCACTTCCTCTCTCATTTCAACAAACCCACTTCAAATTTTCCTCCAAAACCCAAAACCCATCTCTCAAAATCTCATCTTTCCTCAAATCACAGCCTCTGCGTCACCAAGAACAGAGCTTTCTTCAGAAACAAGAGATACCAATATGAAGATCGTGAAAGGAACAATTACAGACCAAAAGCTCTCGCTGGATTCGATTTCGGAAGTTTCGAATCAGTTCTCGAAGCTTCCGCTGTTCTCACAGCGATTATCGTCGTCCACGAAACAGGTCACTTCTTAGCTGCTTACCTTCAAGGTATCCATGTGAGTAAATTCGCGATTGGGTTTGGTCCGATTCTAGCTAAGTTCAATTCCAACAATGTCGAATACTCTCTTAGGGCTTTTCCATTAGGTGGGTTTGTTGGTTTCCCTGATAACGATCCCGACAGTGATATCCCTGTAGACGACAAGAACCTCCTCAAGAATCGACCGGTTTTGGACAGAGTGATTGTTGTTTCAGCTGGAATTATCGCTAATGTAATCTTCGCTTACGCTATAATCTTTGCTCAAGTGATCTCTGTTGGATTACCTGTTCAAGAATCTTTTCCAGGAGTTCTTGTTCCTGATGTTAAATCTTTCTCTGCTGCTTCTCGTGATGGATTGCTTCCGGGAGATGTAATCTTAGCCGTTGATGGAATTGAACTATCCGAATCCGGTTCTGATTCGGTTTCCAAAGTTGTTGATGCCGTAAAGAGGAATCCGAATCACAATGTGTTGCTTAAGATCGAAAGAAGGAACGTGGATTTCGAAATACGGATCACGCCGGATAAGAGTTTCGATGGAACGGGGAAAATCGGTGTTCAGCTATCTCCGAATGTTAGATTCTCAAAGGTGAAACCGAAGAATGTGACGGAAACTTTTAGCTTCGTCGGTAGAGAGTTCTTTGGGCTCTCTTACAATGTCTTGGACAGTTTGAAACAGACTTTCCTTAATTTCTCTCAAACCGCTAGTAAAGTCGCTGGTCCTGTTGCGATCATTGCGGTTGGAGCGGAAGTAGCGAGATCAAACACGGACGGGCTTTACCAGTTTGCGGCATTGCTTAATCTAAACCTTGCGGTGATCAATTTATTGCCTTTACCGGCTCTCGATGGCGGAACATTGGCTTTAATCTTGTTGGAAGCGGTTCGAGGCGGGAGGAAGTTACCGTTAGAAATTGAGCAAGGGATTATGTCCTCTGGAATCATGCTTGTGATATTTCTTGGTTTGTTTCTCATTGTTAAGGACACACTTAATCTTGATTTCATCAAAGAAATGTTGTAATCTCTTGAGGATCAAAAGAAAGTAATTTGTGGAGGATGAGAGT